ATGTAATTAAATCTCAAAATTCCAATTACCTGATTTGTGAAGGCATATATGCTGCTGTTCTCCTGTTTCTGAAAAACCTTAAACATTTGGAGATTACTCTCAAGAGACTACAATCAGTTAGAATACTTTGTCTCTCTGATTTTCTAGTTTCTCCTCCAGAGATGTCTCCCATTCATTCGGTTTACAAAGGGGCTAATTCCCGACACAGCTGTGGAATTCATCAGCTACGATTACCAATACATTCAAGAGACATTGAGGAATAATGATCTCTCTGGTTTTCTCTCTCTCTCTTTCATATGCTTGCGTTCAGCGGTTTCATCAGAAACATCATTATTTTCTGTGGAGAACTGAAAAGCACAACAGAGCTTTTATTATGATCTGAGCAGTACTACTTATACACTGAATATTTACAAATCCTGGTGTTTTTTCCACCCAAAAGTACACAATTTCATTAAACCCCCACTGTGATGGAGTGCCCCACTCACCGCTATGCTGGCACCTCCTTCTGGCTGTTCTTGGGATTAGCTCAGGAGATTGACACCCCTTCCAGGGGTCACACACTGTCACTCCATCTCTCCCTCTGGTCTGTAGCCCCTCTCTTGCTCCAGGGATTGCAGTATCCTTTTTGTGACTCGGCCCTTTGGCCTGGTAACTCAGCATTACCCCCTTCCAGAGTATAGGCTTTCAGAGTCTCTGTCACTCCTGCAGTTACCCAGGCAGTTCACTGTCCTGCTGGTGCCACTTTCCCAGTGGCAGGAAGGAGAATCCAGGCCCACTCTCTATTCCAGGTTCCAGCCCAGGAACCCTACAACATGCAGCCAAGGTCTGTTCAGTTGCCTACCTTGCTGCTTGTACCCTTGTCTGCTTCCTATCCCCCAGGAAGTCAGCCTCTCTTCTACCTCCTCCCTGGGAGCAAATGTGGGCTACTTGTCTCTGTAGCCCCCAAACACACCCCCTTCTCCCAGGAAGTGACTGCAGACTACCTTCCTGCTCTCAGCTCCCTGGCTTTATGGAAACCCCATCTGTACCTGCACAGATGAGCTTCCCCTAATTAGGGCTTTCCTCTCAGACTTCAGCCTAATAGGTTATTGGCCATATGACCTCCATTAACCCCTTTTGGGCGAGCGTGGGGTAAACACCCCTATCACGCCTCCTAATTCTGTATGAACGTTTATTTATAATTCTCTTACCTAGTGCTTTGTAAATAATCTTTTTTTGCGCTATGAAGCGTTGAAATACATCCCACTAATCACGGCAAAGGAGACACCAATATTCAAAATGCCTTTTTCCTAGTAGTGGTGTTACCTGGTGCTTCAGAACTGCAAATTAGCACCCCAGTGCTTCAAACATGAAAAGGAATAACTTTGCATATGTGGGTGATGTCACTGACTACTCTCATGAGTAAAGTTACCCTTGTGCAAGTCTGCAGGACTGGGGCCTAGGGCAACAGAAAAACGTGCTGTGGAAAATGCACACAGAGAAGCAGAGCATTTGGAATTCTATTACAGTAATAGTTTTGAGGGTGATGTAGTGGTAAAATAAATTTTGATATGAAACTGGCACTATTCTAATAATGTGATCCTTTACTAAAAGAGAACAGTCCTGAATTGAATGAGACTCTGGCAGTTTATCTGTCCATGAGAGACACCTATTGGTGCCTCAGAAGGGCCAAAATACTGTGTACCACATATCTTATTGTTATACCAATAAAATAAAAACCAGAAGGATCTTATTAAAGGGGAAAAGGCAAAATGCCACATTTATTGTGAATACAGAAAGAATCATAGTAAGCAGTTATAGCTATAACATTCCATTCAATTTCATATTTATTCGCACATTCATTCATACACACACACACACACGTTCTGCAAGGTTGTTATCATAGTTACTAGCCTTAGAGTTGCTCATGCCAAGCCACTGGCCAGGTGGCCTGGACATGAGGAGGGAGCAGGGCCTTGTCAAATGCTCATCTGATGCTCCTGGAAGTTGGTTTGCAGAATCAGACCCCAAAGTTCTTACTTTCTAGAGTCCATTTTTATAGGATTTTCTTCCTATGCCAGTCTATGGGAATTGCTTCATCATGCTGTTGCTGAATCAATCAGCAGATAGCACATTCCTGATGGTTCCGTGCTGCCAGATGTTATCTTGTTCTTTGGTTCTCCCATCCTTGAGGCTGTTGGGTGGATTCCACTCTGCCCTCCAGTGGTCCTCTGGTTATTTCCACTTGACGCCTTCTTCAGCCGACGAACACTGGATTCTTAGGCTGGCACCTCCCTGATCATTCAGCTATTATCCACACCAAGCATCCATCCACATACATCCTCTATCTCTATTTTAATCACAATTGTTAACAAAGTGAGATGAATACAACAAAAGGGCTGGGAGTCTCTGGGTGCTGTTTCTGTTGTTACAGAGTACTTCTTTGAGTCTCTCTCTGTGTGAGTAGTTGTTGTTACAAAGAATTGCTTTGAGAACAGACTCTGTCTTAGAATGTACTAACACAATTAGCAGCTTGCAAGTTTCACACAGAGAGGGAGAGAAACAGTACCAAAAACCAAGAGACCTCGTAATTAGTAATACCCTGGAATTTAAACTATGAGGAATCAAACTCATTTGTGATTTTAATACAGAAATACTTTAATATGATCCAACATTATTTAGGGAGAAGAATTATTTTGTCATATAATCACAGTAGGACCCATTTATACCACTTCAGTAGTGTAAAGAAACATTAAAATGGGCACCCATTTGTGTTCCTTGGTATGTCTGATGACTATTAGGGAAGGTGTAAGATATTTCAGACATTTTTCATTTTGTCCTGTTTAATTACAGAGATTTGCTGTGTAACTTAAAGGTGCTAAAACTGAGTCTTAAATATTTTTAGCTTCTAAAACTTCAATGAGGAAAATTGTATCTTTTGCCAAGAGAACGATTGCACAGGGAATAATGTTTCATACTTTTCATATTTTTAATGCAACAGATGGAGTGTTCATAAGAAAATAAATGATTTAGTAAATTGTGTGTTAGTGACGTATGTAATCTTGACTGTCAGGTCAACAGATTTAATTCTCAGAACTGCAAATCTTTTCAGGAATAGGAAGTGGTATTGCTCTTTCCTCCCTTTTCCCCTATCCTGCATATGTCTCTTGAGATCTATCTTTATTTTATCTAACTAGTAGTTTAAAGTTTAGAGTTTATGGAGAATTGGTATGAATTCAATCCATGGCAATCCAGTTCTGTAGTTATTAGGAAGCAAGTTAATATTTATCCAGATCTTCAGTTTCTAGCCTTCAAGCTATGCAGTTAGGTCTGTTAGTTAAATGGTCAAACTAGTTTTTTGGTTTTGTTTGTAAGATGATTTCTTCATCGGTATTTAGTCTTGCAGTGGATTCGTGTGTGTTGACCAAATGTTTATGATGAAATGAATAATATAGGTGACTGCTATAGACAAAACCTTTGAACTGTGCATAGACATGTGCAAGATCAGGGCTTCCCATCTTAAGAAGTCTAAGGTATCTGCTATCTTTGAATATGAAGTAGATAGCAAAGTTTCAGTATTTGCTTTGAGTAAATATGCTCTAGGTTTTCTCTTGAAGAAATCTGCTGTGATGCAGATTTGGAGTGCTACTGTAAAAATAAATAAATAAATCTGTTGTTGCTTGAGGGGTAAGAATCTAAGGTTTGGGAATGAGACACATCTTTTATCAGTTACCACAGTGCATTTTTAAAATCAAGACATTGTGTTCCCAGTTATGGGGTGTCATGGACAACAGGGTGAGCTCTACCTTGTATTACTCTTCAGTGCATCCCTCCTAGTGATAGGCCCTGGGCCTCCACCTCATTTAAGGGGGAGTCCCAAGACTCTGCCATTCTTAGACTGAGCCACTAGGCTTCAGGACCCTTCTTTCTCACTGTGGCTACTTTAGCAGGGCCAATTTGTATTGAGTCCCTGCAGGAATCTTCTATCTTGGGAGCTTTGTGATCAGAAAATATATCAGTGACACACTGCAGCCTTTTAAAAACAAAGTATTGTTGAATAGTCAACAGGAATGAACTAGTCAAAGTCTTGTATTAAAATAATGAGTAAGGCCTACACACATGAATATTACCTAAACTTTATTCTTTCCTTACAAGTTTTGGGTATGTTCCACTCAGCCTAGACATCCCTAGTCGTGGCCTGGGAGAGAGAGCCAGCCACTGCAACATTCTCTCAGATCTGGTCTACACTTACAATTTAGATTGACCTAGCTATGTTGCTGAATGCCATAGTTAAGCCGACCTAACCCCTGGTGTAGACACAACTAAGTCAATGGAAGAATTACCACCATTCAGGGACGTGGATTGCCTGAATTGATGGGAAAACCCTTTCTGTCGATGTAGGAAGCACCTGCACTGCCGTGCTATAGTGGCATAGCTAGGCTGCACCCATGCTGCTGTATCACTTGTAGTATAGAGGTAGCCTCAGTGCCCCTCTGTCAGATACTCCCCTCCAGGCAGTGCTGCCTGCTCACCCTCCTTCCTCTCTAGGCTGGAGTCTTTAATGGTTTAGTTCCCTTTGATCTTAGGCATGGGGCTGGGAAAAATAAAACTGCAAGTCTTGCAGGAGGGCATTTTCCAATAATGATGCCCCCATAGTTCTCTTGAGTACCCTTGGTAATCTCTTGGGAGGTTTTGTCTCCTACTTGTTTTCCCCTAACAGCTTCCTCTGATTTAACTCTGGGCAGTCAAATACAATAATATCAAGCTGGTAAACTGAGGCATATAATTTTCATAGAAGTACAGAAATCTCCACATTTTCCACAAGGGGGTGTGTAAAGAATGGGCTTAGAAGATGCAGAACATTTTTGAGGCAAAATATTTTAATTGTAGAAAAAACGTACTGCAATTTCCTGATTTATAGTTTAGGACAACTTTAAAAGGTGTTTGGTATTAAAGGAATAAACAGGTAATTAGAAGTATCTGCTTATTTTCTGAATGTACTTCTTTATTTTTTTTTAAAGGTGGTTATCATCCCGTGAAAATTGGAGATCTTTTCAATGGCCGGTATCATGTAATTAGGAAGCTAGGATGGGGACACTTCTCTACAGTTTGGCTATGCTGGGATATGCAGTAAGAGATCTACGTATATATATATATATATATATATATATATATATATATTTGCCTTTAAACTTTCTCTTTTCCATTTCTAATCAAGTAAATGCTGATTTGTTATATGTGCAATAACTGCTGTTTTAGATACAGGCTGAAGCTATCCAGGTGTTTTGTTGTGTCTTTGTTGTTGTTTGGTAAACAACTGTATATAGAGATGTCCACAGTGTTTTTCTCCTTTTGGTTAAGGATGTATTTTATAAAACTTGTCAGAAGTTGAAGTCTAAGTTTTATTTTCTTAACAAATTATCAGTGCTTATTGAATTCACATGTTTTCTTGAGCTGGAGAACAAGTTAATGTTTTTATTCCTCCTGTATCCTTAATAGTAAACCTAATTGTATTTTGATTAAATGGTAAAATAGAATTGAAATTCTTCTTTTAAAGTCATTATCATTTAAAATATTAATAATTCTGTGATTTCAATATTGTAGAAACAATGCATAAAATACAGTTCTAAAGGTATTGTTATTCTCTGTCATAATGCACTAAATTACGTCAAATATTTTAATTACTGTATTATTGAGAATTTAGGAGTTTCCCCTTAATTTTAAGATAAAATTACCAAAACTTTCCAGATATAATCCTCTGAAGTATGCTTCATAACATCTTTTAGCTCTGGTCATTTGTTGAATAAGTTTTTGTTATTTTCAAGGGGGAAGAGGTTTGTTGCAATGAAAGTTGTAAAAAGTGCCCAGCATTATACAGAGACAGCCTTGGATGAAATTAAGTTGCTCAGATGTGTGAGTATTATACTAAGTGCTTAGTACTGATAATGGTAAATTATGTATAGATACAATGGAAGTAAATGCTTTCGAACATCATTATTTTCCCTAAATCTGTTTTCTAAATATATGACATTACTTCATTGTCATTATTTGTAAGGCTCTATAATCTTGCTTAAATTTTTAGAAAAAATTTATTACCCTTATAAGAAGATGAGTTATTTCCAGTATCTTCTTTCTTTGCTTAGGTTCGTGAAAGTGATCCTAACGATCCAAACAAAGACATGGTTGTACAGTTAATTGATGACTTCAAAATTTCAGGGATGAATGGAATACGTATCCTTTTTTGGCTATTCTTCTTATATTAAGATTAAAATGAAGAGGACAAATGAGTATTTAGTTTTCATACATTAATGTCTTAGTGTATGCAGGGTGAGTAATTTTTCAAAATAATCTGCTTTCTTTAATTTTTTTTAAAAGTAAAATTTAAGACCATCTCAGAGACATTTATTCATGCACTGTATTACAGTGTGTAATTCGCTTTCCCTAATGAAAATAGCTTAATAGTTCTAAATATAATGAAGAATAAAAGATAAACATTTTAAATTTGTTCCTTGATGAACAGGCTTGCCCACGAAAACATCAGAAGACAGGGTATTTTTAAAAAATTGAAATTTTATTTACAGTGACCAATGTTCATGGTTTGTCTAACCTTTCCAAATAACATAGTTAAGAAACATGTTGTGCATTAGTTAGTGTACTGTGCTTCATTATTATTATTATTATTTTATTATTATAATAAATCCTGCAGTACATTCAATTAGTGTAGGCTGAAAAAGATTTTTTTCTAAAAACAAACAAGCAATTTATGTTGAAACATTATTAGATTAGATTCCAATGTGTGTTACTGTTGTAATATATATAGAGAAACTTAAAAATGAAGGGGTAATCACTCACTTTAGATAAGGAAGAATCATCAACTAATCAGTTATTTTGTTCCTATCCTTTAAATTGTTTATTAATATAAAATGTAGATATGTTATTGGCTGCACTGTTCTTTAATTCCTGTAACTGGCTAGAGGAGAGATTCTGAGTGACAAATAAAAAACACTGGGTACCTGAATCTTTATGATGCTTTCTAGAATTACAGTCTGTAACAATTCTGATGAAAAGCCATATAGTAAAATATAGTAAGGATAGGAAATAATAAACGTGGAAGACTGGATAGATTAGAGGATTGGTAATAGGGTCTGGAGCCTTTTACCTCTAAATCTTTGGTTGAAATCCAGCCCAGAGCATAGTGAGGTTATGTTCCTCCTGTCTGATGGAGGCCAGTGGGGAGATCCCGAGTTGGCTCCTGAAGAAGGTGGTATGCCTCTCCTACTGAGAAGTATAAGTACACGAAGTTTCTCTTGTTGCTTATGTGATCCTTTTAGTGAGTTACTGATTAGATGTTAACCTCTTTTTTTTTCCTTTTTTTTTTTTTGTTTGAGAAATGTTATTGAGAAAATATCTGCCAGCACACCTGGATTTGATAGATTTTTTTGACATATTTCAATGAGACACTAAAATGAAACAATCCTCATTAATATGCTTGATGATTCCCTGCTGCTGCTGAACTATCTTTGCTGATCATGTTTGTTCTTCTTCAAGTAGTGTCCGTATGGGTGCTCCACTGTGCCTGGGATTGGCGACCTTTGGTAGCAGTGCCTGTTGGGCTGCATATGCGCTTCTCACTGTCTCACGCTGTGAGCAGTGTCTATATTAGTGTTTCCCAAATTGTGTTCCGCATGATGTGAACAGGTGTTCCATGAAAGAATCAGAATTTAAAAAAAGGGTCTTTAAATTTTTTTTAATTTTAAATTTGGCAAATTTGAAGCGTAGTTTACAACTCTTTTTGAATGACTATAATTTAACATAAAACTCTTTTTCCGGTTATTGATATGTCTCGTATTGACTATAATGGCTTAAAGAGAACGCGGCATGCAAGCATGTTGATGTCTACCCCTTTCGGGCACGTTTCAGTTAGTGACGTTGTACCCCTTCTGCTCGAGGCTGCGCGAACTGCAGCGGTATGCACACACCATTCTCTTTACGCCATGTTGAATATAACATATTCACTCAACACTTTCAAACCGGTGGGTCTTTACCGTATGTGCAGTAAGCACAACTAAACTAGTTTCACTCAAAACAATATAAATATTTGTAACTAACAAAATTTGACAAAAATCAGTATTTCTAAATGTTGTTACTAAACCTAATCACCATGAATTTGTGGCTAAAAGAAGGAACTTTGAAACGAAAAGCAAGTTCTTCTGGTACTCCAACTGTGGCCAAAATAAACGAGCAAAATATTGTGACACTTCAAAGTGAGGATGAACAATTGCAGTCTTTTGTTGTTGAAAAATCTGTGAGTACTGGTGAGTTATCCAAGGCGAAAGAATTTCCACCAAAGTATATCAAAAACAAGAAGAAGCAGGTGTTAAAAGACCGAAATGAAAGTGTGATGAAAGTTATTTGTCTTTCGGTTTTACGTGTGTTGGAAATAAAGGTGTTCCTGATGCGCAGTGTGTCGTGTACAACAAAATACTAGCAAACAGTTCATTGGCTCCTGCTAAACTTCGTAGGCATTTGGAAACCAAGCATGCTGAATACAAAGACAAAGATATAAGTTTTTTCAAGAGGCAGTGTGACTCACTTGGAAATTGTAAACTTTCGATGATTAAAATTGCTAAAACAGACAACAAAAGTGCAACAGTGGCATCTTATTGAGTAAATTACCGTATAACGCTTGCCTGAGAAGCTCACAGTATTGGAGAAACGCTTATCAAGCCTTGTGCGAAAGATATTGTAACGTGCATGTTGAACGAGCAGTCTGGTAAAAAAAAAAAATTGATGCTGTACAGTTGTCAAATAATACTGTTGCATGCCGTATTAAAGATCTTGCTGATGACATAGAAAAAGAGCTAGTTTGTGGACTGAACATTTGCCATGAGTATTCATTGCAGCTAGATGAGTCCACTGATGTTTCAGGACTTGCTGTGCTACTAGTATTTGTCCGATATACATTTAATATTATTATTGAAGAGGACCTGTTCTTATGTGAATCTCTGCGAATCAACATGACTGGAGAAGAAATATTCAACTGCATCAACAATTTTATCAGAAAGCATGAAATTAGGGAAAATGTATTGATGTATGTACTGACGGTTCTCGGGCAATGATCGGGAAGATGAAGGGAGCTGTAATGTGAATCATAAGTGTGGCACCAGAAAGCATTAAGAACCATTGTTTTCTACACAGACAAGCACTTGCAGTTAAAAAAAATACCAGCATATCTGAAAATTGTGCTCAATGAATCAGTACAAATTATCAATTTTGTCAAATCTCGACCACTTCAATCCAGGTTATTTAAAATTTTGTGCGAGGAAATGGGTAGTCAGCACAAAACACTTCTTTTACATATGGAAGTGAGGTGGCTATCCAGAGGAAAAGTGCTTGTGAGGCTTTTTGAGCTTCGTAGTGAACTACTGGTATTCTTCACTTCAGATAATTCAGGACGAAAATTTAATGACTGTCTGACAAATTCCTTATGGCTAATGAGACTGCATATTTTTGCAAAATTAAATTAAATTAATCTGTCGCTGCAAGGAAAGAATGTGACCATTTTTACTACAATGGATAAAATTTCGTCGTTAAAAAAGAAACTGGAATTCTGGGCATCTTCTGTAGAACAGAATAACTTCAACTGCTTTCCTACACTACATGAATTTCTGACTGAAGTACATTCTACAGTCCATGAAGAAGTTTCCAGTACCATTTTGCAGCACTTACGTGACTTGCAGGCCTCTTTATTAGAATATTTTCCTACAACTACTGATGATAATGCTTGGGTTCGAAATCTGTTTGTAATTACAGCCAAACCAGTCAGCTTTACTGCGCATGATTATGAAAGCCTAATTGACTTAATTTCTGATTCTGATTTGAAAGAAAAGTTTAAGGATCTTCCACTGAATAATTTTTGGAGCAGCCTAATAGAAGAGTACCCTAATGTGGCTAACCATGCAGGTCGAGTGCTCCTTCCTTTTGCCACAACTTATTTGTGTGAGACCAGATTTTCGTATTATACTGCAACAAAAAACAAATATAGGAATAGACTTGATGCTGCGCCTGACATGAGGATTCAACTTTCCAGCATTATTCGTAATAGTAAGCGAATTTGTGATAGAAAAATGCAGAAACACCAATCCCATTAAATCCAAACTTGTATTTCTGTTTATAAAAATAGATCTTCCTAGTAAAAATCTAATTTGTTTGGTGTTTGTGTAGATATAAAAGATATATTTTTTTAAGTAGAACACTGTTTTTAATTTTGACTCTTGCACTTGATTTTTGTACTACTTTATACGCGCTTTCCAGTTAGAAATTGTTAGTTCAAGTAATTTTAAATTTGTATTTTTGCTTTGTTTTATAAAATAAAATATATTTGAGCATAAATAATGCAATTTTATATTTGAAAACAAAAAAACTACAAAATAATTTTATAAGTGTTCCGTAATAGGCTAAAAAGTGTTCCGCGGCCAAAAAAGTTTGGGAAATGCTGTTCTATATAGTGCTGTGCGCTCCAACCACCCTCAGTCCTTTCTCAACCTCTTTTGGTCTGGGACGGAATCCTGAGCAGAGCCCGCCATACATCTGTAGCCTTTAGTAATAGTAGTGTTTCTGTTATAATTTTCTAGATGTTAGAAATTTCCTTTATTTTTCTCTCTCTCCTGGAAAAAAAAATATTTTTTTCCATTTCTCTTCCCTCCCTGTTATTCTTTACCTGAGCATAGGTTTCCTTTTTTCCTGCACCCTTCCCAATTGGGAAGTCCTCCCTTTCTCGGGGTTATACCCAGATCCCCTGGGTTCAAGAGGTGAGGCCATCATCGTGAGCGATGGGCACTCACAGTGTGTACGCTGTCTCAGTGCGGAGCTCGTCATACAAAAGTGTATCCACTGCCTCAAATGTAAGGCTCGGTTCAGAAAAACTGAAGCTAAAACTTTTACTAATGGAGAGCTCTCTGTGACCAGTCTCAGACCCTGGCCCTGATACCTCTCCTATGTGTCAGCCACCATTGGCACAGTCATTGGCCAACCTCATTCGCTATGTACCATCAAGAGAAAAAAGAAAAGGAGTACTTGTGGCACCTTAGAGACTAACCAATTTATTTGAGCATAAGCTGTCGTGAGCTACAGCTCACTTCATCGGATGCATACTGTGGAAACTACAGAAGACATTATATACACAGAGACCATGAAACAATACCTCCTCCCACCCCACTCTCCTGCTGGTAATAGCTTATCTAAAGTGATCACTCTCCTTACAATGTGTATGATAATCAAGTTGGGCCATTTCCAGCACAAATCCAGGTTTTCTCAATGTCTTCTGCAGTTTCCACAGTATGCATCCGATAAAGTGAACTGTAGCTCATGAAAGCTTATGCTCAAGTAAATTGGTTAGTCTCTAAGGTGCCACAAGTACTCCTTTTCTTTTTGCGAATACAGACTAACACGGCTGTTACTCTGAAACCATCAAGAGAAAATCTGTTCTCTTCAGATTAAAAAAGAAATGTGCCACTAGTTCACCCTTTAAGGAGCCGCCTTAGAGAAAGACTTCCCTTGTGAGGTCAGTAGCCTCAACATTTTCAGGAGTGAAACTTCGTGCCTGTGACCGTCCAGGCACTTCCAATACCAGCATTTAGGGAACGTCTAAGGAACCTAAATGGGCAGGACTGCAGGAAAAAAAACTGCCACTAAGAACTGAGAAGGACAGTGCAAGACTTTTGAAATAGGTACCGACCGTCTCAACTAAAATAACTCTGAGTGCTTCGGCACTGACCAAACCCTTGGTGCTAGCCAAGTCTTTCACACTGAGCAAGCCTTCGGCACCAAGCAAGCTCTTGGCACCAATGCAACCTTTGGTACCGCCTATTTGCCGCTTGAGAGACTGCTGAGAAGTCATTCTCAGCACCAGCAATGCCCCCAACCTGTATCAGCCACCAGTGCTGATGATGCTCCTGCCAGTACCACAGGAGTTTCAGTACCCACAAGACTTGATCATCTCTGATGCTCGATGTCCGATGAAGTGAGCTGTAGCTCACAAAAGCTTATGCTCAAATAAATTTGTTAGTCTTTGAGGTGCCGCAAGTACTCCTTTTCTTTTTGTGGATACAGACTAACATGGCTGCGACTCTGAAATCTGATACTCCAGAGTCACCATTTTTCCGTAACAAGCTCCCTGCAGTTCATGCCTCTTCCCCGGAGACACACCACCACTCCCCTTCATCACTGAGGACCACACCACCCTTCTCTAATGAGGAAGAGGAGGAGGAGTACTCCATTGCACTGTGCACTCCACCCTCCTGTCAAGGGCAGCCACACACATCTTCTCATTCTCAATATCCAGATACCAGAAGTTATCCAGGTCTCTGGTACTGACCCCCATGGATGCAACCCCCCATGCCAGTTGCCCCACATTGGCCTTATTGGGACCTAGGGGCTGTGTGCATATAGAGTGCACTTTCCCAAACCATCCGCGGAATAGAAACAGAGACAAATATGCTTTCCATCTTCATCAGTGTCTAGACCGCCTAATGCTGAACCAGAAGCGCTAGAGGAACAGGAGGAAGAAATGGAAGAAGAGATTCTCCCACTTCTCATCTTTCCCTGATGAAGTCATAATGCCACCACCTCCAACATCGGTGGATGATTTTAAACCATTCCAAGAACTGTTCCGCAGGATTGCAGATTCTCTCCAGATCCCTCTGGAGGAAGTCAGAGAGCAACAGCATAAGTGGCTCGATACTTTACAGGCCTTTACATCAGCAAAGATAGCACTCTCAATCAGTGAGGCCTTGTTGGACCCCAACAAGGTGATCTGGTAGACCCCAGAGTCAATACCATCCACCTACAAATGAGCAGACAAGAAATACTATGTCCTTGGTATGGCTGGGGAATTTCTTTTTTTCCCATCCTACTCTGAATTCCCTGGATTGTTAATGCAATACAAGAGAAGGGGCAAAAACACCACTTTAGGATAGCCCCCTACGACAGGGACTGAAAGAGGCAAGACATCTTTGGTCGTAAAGCATACTCTTCCGCTGCACTCCAGTTCCATATTGCTAAATATGAGGCACTTGTGGCCAAATATAATCACATAAACTATTCCAAATTCCAGGAATTCTGTCAACACCTACCAGATGAGAAGAAGGAACAGTTCCAGGCACTGGTGACGGAAGGACAACTTCTGGCCCGTACGGCGCTACAAGCCTCTCTGGACTCTGCAGACACAGCTGCACACTCTCTTGCAATGACAGTGGTGACGAGAAAAGCATCACGGCTTCACCTTTCCAGGTTCCCCAGAGAGGTGCAGACAGCTGTCGCAGATCTACCCTTTGAAGGTCTTCCTCCCAACTCACAGATTTTAAATGTGGTGTAGCTGCAATTACTAGAAGAAGGGTGCACAACTAGTTGAAAAACCATATTCCAAGCATAGTTATTGATGGTTTGCAGTCAACTTGGGAGGACATATCTAGGGAGGTCCTGGATCCAGTACCATTCAAATATAATAACTTGGATGATGTAGTGGAGAGTTCACTTATAAAATTGCAAATGACGCCAAGCTGGGAGGACAAGAATAGAATTCAAAATGACCTTGATAAATTGGAGAATTGTCTGAAATCAATTAGATGAAATTCAATAATGACAAGAGCGAAAACTACACATAGGAAGGAAAATCAAATGCACAACTAGAAAATGGAGAATAACTGGCTAGATGGTAGTACTGCAGACTAGTGTCTGTGGGCTTCACAAACTGAATATGAGCCAGCAATGTGACACTGTTGCAAAAGACTGATATGATTCTGGGTTATATTAACAAGAATGTCATACGTAAGACATAGGAGGTAATTGTTCCACTCTACTGTGCACTGGTGAGGCCTCATCTGGAGAATTGTGTCCAGTTTTGAGGACCACACTTTAAGAAAGATGTGGACAAACTGGAGAGAGTCCAGAGTGGAGCAATAAAAATAATAAAAGGTTTAGAAAACTTAATCTGTGATTAAATGTTTTAAAAAATGGTCATGTTTGGTCTTAAGAAAAGAAGTCTGAGAAGGACCCTGATAAGTCTTCAAATATGTTAAGGGCTGTTACAAAGAGGATGGTGATCAGTTGTTCCCCATGCCCATGAGGATAGGACAAGAAGTAATGGACTTAAACTGCAGCAGGGAAGATTTAGGTTAGATATTAGGAAAACTTTCTTTCTATAAGGATAGTTAAGTACTGGAATAGTTACCAAGGGAGGTTGTGGAATCCCTGTCACTGGTGTTTTTTAAGAACAAGTTAGACCAACACCTGTCAGAGATGATCCAAGTATACATAACCCTTCCTCAGTTTGGGTTGATAGACTAGATGATCTTTCAAGGTCACTGCCAGCCCTGCATTTCTATGATGTTATGATTTTCATTCTGTTCATGAGTACTATTTTTTTAGAGGGACGTTGGGCTCTTTAGCTCAAGTGCAAAAAAGTATTATGGTTGAGCTAAATAAGAAGTTACTTTGAAAATTATCCTTATTTAAATCCAGATGTCTGTATGGTCTTTGAAGTTCTTGGACATCATCTCTTAAAATGGATAATCAAATCCAACTATCAAGGCCTTCCTATCCGTTGCGTAAAAAGTATAATTCGACAGGTAAGATTTGCTAATGTTTTAATTTTTTTCCACAGTGTTGCTTTACTTTGATGTTCATGTGTTGATATTTCAACTGCAGATCATGCCAGGAAGTACACAATAGGTATTAATTGCATAGGTATTCCCACAGGTAGCTGCTGAGAGTATCCTTTCCTATAACATGCATTTGTGCACATTGCTTGCTTTGTGTGTGTTGATATTCCATTAGATACTGAGCTCTTTCACAAAACATATGCTTAAATTTTTAAGTCAATCTGTTTCTTACAAATTTAAGAGTATTTGAAAATAAGGAAATCCGTTTTCTTGATTAATAAATGGACCACAATTTCATCTTTCATACTGAGCCACCTTCAGAATATACAACACAAGATCATAATATAAACATAATATTTAAAAAATTAATACCAATTGCATCTCTGCCTGAAAACCAGATCCTCAGGAGATATACATTAAAAAACCGAGGATAGGATTTTCAGAAGTATCCAAATGATTTAGGAACACACATCTAAAGATGATTAGGTACTTTTGAAATTTCCACTTTTAGAGTTCTCTCTCATATGTACATTCCTACATTGCACCATACAAACCAAATTGCTGGGGAGATGAACTTACAGAAATAAAGTGCCAGAGAGGGAAAAGATCAGACATAGTATCTTACTGTTAGGGCCCTACCAAATTTATGATTCATTTTGGTAAATTTCATGGTCATAGGATTTAAAAAATAATAAATTTCATGGTTTCAGCTATTTAAATCTGAAATTTCATGGTGGTGTAATTGTAGGGGTCCTGACGCAAAAAGGAGTTGTGGGTGGTCACAAGATTGTTGTAGGGGGAGTTGTGGTACTGCTACCCTTACTTCAGAGCTGGACAGCTGGAGATCAGTGGCTCCTGGCCGGGATCCCAGCTCTGAAGGCAGAGCTGCTGCCAACAGCAGCACAGAAGTAAGGATGCCACCCTTACTTCTGCCCTGCTGCTGCTTGCAGAGCTGGGCCCTCAGTCAGCAGCCACCACTCTCCAGCCGCCCAGCTCTGAAGGCAGCAGAGCAGAAAAAGGATGGCATGGCATGGTATGGTATTGCCACCCTTACTTCTGCACTGCTGCTGGCAGGGTGCTGCCTTCAGATCTGGGTGCCTGGCCAACAGCTGCCGCTCTCCAGCCGCCCAGCTCTGAAGGCAGCGTAGAAGTAAGGGTGGCAATACTGCAACCCCCCTAAAACAACCTTGCGACCCCCCTGTAACTCCCTTTTGGGACAGGACCCTCAATTCAAGAAATGCTGGTCTCCCCCCTGAAATCTTTATAGTATAGGGTAAAAGTACATAAAAGACTAGATTTCACGGTCTGTGGTGTGTTTTCCATGGCCGTGATGAAGTGAGTTTTAGCCCACGAAAGCTTATGCCCAAATAAATTCATTAGTCTCTAAGGTGCCACAAGGACTCCTCGTTGTTTTTACAGACAGCAAAGTAGCTCCTTATCTGAGCTCTACCATGTCAGATGCCTCTGTATCCCATTGCAGTGTTGCAGTGCTTTAGGTAGCCTTTAAAGAATGTCCTTGCCTTCCAGTCTCCCGCCTCTGGACTCACAAGTTTTGCTCTTCAGCTTCATCTTTTAGCTTTGGAACTTTGGCTTGTGAGACCTTGATTTCTTCACAGTGCTTTGTGTCCTTTAAGCCTCAAAACGTTTCAACTCTTTTTAGCTTCAGGAGGTCTCAGCAGATTTTCACTGTAAGGCTTGAAGGCTGTGTTCATGTGTTGATGACTGCTACTTAATTACAGAGCAGCCATCAGATTTCTTTGACACTAAGTAATGTGCCCACTAACAGGGACGGCAAGTTATATGGGCTCATGGTGCCTGGGCTCAGAGGTGAAAGTAAGCCGGAGCGCCGTACCGGGGTGGATCGGCTTCCCCAGGCGCAATTTAAAGGTCCTGCGGCTCCCAGCAGTGGTGGGAGCCCCCGGCCCTTTAAATTGCTGCCAGAGCCCTGGGGTAGCGGCAGCGGGGCTGGGATGGCGATTTAAAGGGCCCGGGGCGGTAGTGGTGGCTGGAGCCCTGTCCCTGGAGCCCTGCTGCCGGAGCCCTGGGGAAGCAATGGCGGGGCTCCGGGGACGATTTAAAGGGCCCAGGGCTCTGGCCGCCACTACCACCCAGGGCCTTTTAAATCGCTGCCAGAGCCCCTGGCTGCCGCTGTTACCCCGGGGAGGGGAAGGAGGTACTTGCCGGTACAGGGTGGGCCGGGGCTGGCTCTGACCTCCCCCAACCCCTCCCCTTCTGCCTGAGGCCCCGCTCCTTCCGGGGGCCAGAGCTGGCCGCAGCCTAGCCCCTTCCTGGTAAGTCCCTAGACTTACTTTCACCCCTGCCTGGGCTCCACCAATAGTCAGGGCCCGGGGGCCCAGCTCCACCAATGTTTTGGGGCCGGGTCTCTCCCCCGGCCCCACCTGCCACCCCCATGCACCTCCCCCAAGTGTCCCCCGGCCCCCACTTGCTGCCCCCGCTCACTGCCTGGAACCTGCAGCTCACGCTAACTCTGCTCTGCCGGCTTCTGGCATCAACTGCTGCCTCAGGGTCCTAGTGCCCCCCTGCACTAGGGCCAAGGCAGGCTGCCCTTCCACCCCAGCCCTGAACCCCTGCCACACCCCAAACCCCTCATCCCCAGCCCTAGACAGAACCCTCACATCCCCCGCACCCTAACCCTCTGCCCTCCACACCCCTCATCCTCACACAAAGCCCTCATCCCCCACACCCCACTCCTCTGCCCTAGCCCTGAGCCCCCTCACACACCCCAAACCCCTCATCCTCACCCCTGCACCCCCTCCTATCCTATCCTATCCTATCCATCCTAGAGCCTGCACCCCTCACCGCCTCCTGCACACCCACCCCCTGCCCCATCCCGGAGCCTGTCCCCAAACTCCCTCACAGAACCTGCACCCCAACCCTCTGCACTCCCTCCCAGAGCCTGCACCCAAACTCCCTCCCAGAGCCTGCACCCCTAACCCCTTCCTGCACCCCCACCCACTGCCCCAGCCCAGAGCCTGCACCCAGCACCCAAGCCCCAGTCCAGGTCCTGCACCCCAGACCCCCTCCCCCACCCACATTCCCCCCAGACCTCCTCCCCCAACCCAAACTCCCTCCCAGAGCCTTAGGCAGGTGGGGGGAGGAGTTTAGGTGGGGGCGGGTTCTGGGCACCACCAAAATTTCTACAAACCTGCCACCCCTGCTCACTAGTTAGTCACTCTAGAGACCTGAGTTTGACACTTATGGTATGTCTACACTACAAATTTAGGTTGATTTTATGTATGTTGACATTGAGCCTCCAATTTAAGCAAGTCGATCTTGAATGTCCCCAGTATGCTCTTTGTGTCAGTGGAGTGCATCCTCACGAGCAGGGCTTGAATCAGCCGATGGAGTGTTGCACTGTAGGTAGCTATTCCACAGCGCATGGAGCTGAGCGGAATGTTGGGTTGGGCTTGCAATGCCTCATAGGACCAAAACAGTTGCGTGGGTGGTTATGGGAACATGGCATTAGCATCCCATGATGCACTTACCTCACTTCCTCCGTCCCTCCCTGAAATCAGTGGCAAAGAAACCAAGCCTTTTTTCCTAAGCCTGGGTTACCCGCGCAGACGCCACAGCACGGCAAGCATGGACCCCGCTCAGCTGTACACTGTTGTTGTGAGCATTACAAACACCTCACACCTTATCCTGCAGTATTTATTCAGCTGAAGCAGGAGACAACGTGTGGAACAATGTGATGCCATGCAAGCAGCACTGCTGGAAGCCTTGGAGTGGAGCAATTTGCAGATGCTGGCGACAGTCGCGCATGACCTTGACATGGTGGGCGCTGCTTCTGGGCCCGGGAAGCAAGCACTGACGGGTGGGACCACATAATTATGTGGCTAAGGGATGACAAGCAGTGGCTGCAGAACTTTCGAATGCATAAGGCCACTTTCATGGAACTGTGTGAAGAACTTTCCCCAGCCCTGAAGCGCAGCAATACTAAAATGAGAGCTGCTCTGACAGTTGAGAAATGGGTGGTGATAGCTCTGTGGAAGCTTGCAACGCCAGACTGCTACCAGTCAGTGGGGAATCAATTTGGAGTGGGTAAATCTACCGTGGGGTCTGTTGTGATCCAAGTTGCCAGGGCAATAAATAGACTTCTGCTAAGAAGGGTAGTGACTTTGGGAAACGTGCAGGACATAGTGGATTGTTTTGCCGTGATGGGTTTTCCTAACTGTGGTGGGGTGATAAACAGAATGCATAGCCCTATCTTGGTACCAGACCACCTTGCCAAAGAGAGTACATAAACTGAAAGGGGTACTTCTCAATGGTGTTGCAAGTGCTGCTGAATCACAGGAGCCATTTCACCAACATCAACATGGGGTGGTTGGGAAAGGTGCATGATGCGTGCATCTTTAGGAACTCTGGTCTATTCAGAAAGCTGCAAGCAGGAACTTTCCTTCCAGACTGCAGAATAACCGTTGGTGATGTTGAAATGCCAATTGTGATCCTGGGAGACCCAGCCTACCCCTTTCTCATGAAGCCGTACACTGGCAGCTTGGATAGCAGTAAGGACCGGTTCAACCATAGGCTGAGCAAGTACAGAATGGTTGATGGAATGTGCCTTTAGATGTTTAAAAGCCCGCTGGCATTGTTTGGTTACTAGGTTAAACCTCAGTGAAAGCAATATCCCCATTGTTGTTGCTGCCTGCTGTGTACTCCATAATATCTGTGAAACAAAAGGAGAAAAGTTTCTGGTGGGGTGTGGGGTTGAGGGAGATCACCTGGCAGCCAATTTTGAGCAGCCAGACACCAGGACAATCAGAAGAGCACATCAACAGGCATTGCAAATTCGTGTGGCTTTGAAAACTCATTTCAGCAATGACCCACAGTAAAATGACACTTGTGTGTTGTTCCTTACCAAGCTGTCCCCTTCATTGCATGTACTCCCCTGTAAACTCCACCCCCACTAACCACTGTGCGATGAATGAATAAAGAGCCTTTTCTCC